TGGAGGAGCTTTAAGGTCCCTTCCATCACGACCTAGTCTGGGATTGTGTGATCTTCAAACGCAGCCGTGTTGCTTATTGCTAAAATGAGATACTGCTGATGTCAATTTAGTTTTGTGATATTCTAAGTCCCGTGGAGCCCTTACTCCTCACCAGGTAATACAGGAGTTGTTTGGGGGTTTTGGTAATAATGTTAATACTACATAGGAAAGCACACAAGAGATTCCCTACAACCCCCATACCACAAGCTAAGAGATATGGGAGGGGACAAAACCATCACCTACTGCTTTGGATGATCTGTTAAGGTGCTTTGAAGCACTTTGCACATACACCTTGTTTGAAGAGTGTGCATTGCCTCCCAGAGTGATGTGGTCTCTCCTAGTGGGGCTGGACTGAGTGCTCAGGGCCAGGGCCATGGCCATGCAGATGCCGTTGGAAGCAAATGCGGATACTTCAGCAGAGGAAGAGAGCTTTGGGCCCCAGCTCATCGCTCGGTTAGAGGTGGGTCGGAGTTAGCTCCAGAGTAACTTCTCAAGAAATCCGTTGTCTTTTTCCTTAAACACTGGTTGTATCTGAAATTGTGTTGCTAAATTCTTGTGTTCTGCCAAAAAAACCCACACCAACCCCCCCAGCATGTTAACAGTTATGTGTTACATTACTTTGCCTTGCTCCATACCCTTTCCTGATGTGTCTTGTTCACCTCTGGCATCTATTAAACCAGAGAATAGAATCTTCTGCCTATTCTGTGCCATCTACATGGTCAATATCCAAACATTACACTGGCAAAAGGCTCTTATTTTTCTAGTTCTTTGCGTATGAATGAGTAGGGAGGTAACATTCAGAAGCTGACTTGTAATAACAGGGTTTGATCCAGACCTGCTGAAGCCAGTTGAAGGCATTCAGTGGAAGTTAGATTAAGGTATCTGTGCCTTAGTGTGTCCTTTTTGTCTCCCCTCCCTTTCAGCAATGTGGTATAAATGCAAATGATGTGAAGAAGTTAGAAGAAGCTGGGTTTCACACAGTCGAGGCTGTTGCTTATGCGCCCAAGAAGGAGCTGCTAAATATCAAAGGCATCAGTGAAGCCAAAGCTGACAAAATCTTGGTAAGGAATCATGGAAAAGCTTTAACCCAAGATAGTGAAGATGTTTTATTTCTACTGGCTTAACGTGGTGTGGTGATTTTGGAAGGTCTCCATTAATGGTATAGTGAGAAGGCAGTAAAGATGGTGAGAGGTATGACGTGACTTCCGATGAGAAGAGGCAAAAACCACAAAGACCAGCCTCAGGAAGTGAAGAGGGAGGGGCTGTTGGAAAGGTCTGGGAATCACGGAGGGTATGGAGAACGTGCCTGAGATGACTGTTGTTTCTAGCTCAGTGTTTCTCATGATAAGGCAGCTTATGGTAAGGCTCAAGCAAAGGAAGTACTTTTAGACACAGGTTGTCATCGCTTCCATCCCTGGCAGTGTTCAAGGCCAGGTTGGGCGCAGGGGCTTGGAGCAACCTGCTCTAGTGGAGCTGGAGGAGCTTTAAGCTCCCTTCAACCCAAACCACTCTGGGATTCTAAGTTATGGAACTGTCTCAATACAGCTGCTGCTCCTGAGTGTGTTGGTTGTGCACCTCAGACAGGTATTCACCCTGAGACATGGGGTCTCCTTCTGGGGCCGAGAGCGAAGCCAGAGTTATTGATCTTACATCTTCTAGTTCAGAACATGGAGCTCTTGCCACACTAGTTCTCATTGATCAGAATCTGACCCAGCTCAATGTTTAACTCCAATTCTTTCCTTGCCTTGCATGGTCAGTCATTATTTAGGAGCACAGCATTCCTACTGGGCTGTATGCCTACCCTCAGTGTTTCGGGTTTCCCAGGGACAGAACTGAGCTGAAAGTGTGGGGGGTGAGGAGGAGGGAAGAGTCCCAGAAAATACACAAAATGGATGTTAATGCTTTTTCTTTGAGCAGAATTTCAGTTCTGTTCAGAGTTACCAACTGACAAATGGTCTGTGAAATACAGTGTACACAGGAAACTCTATGGGTGCTTCTCCACAGAATAGAATATTACAGTGTCAATTACTAGAGGGTGGAAACAATTGAGGTGAACTCTCCTTTCACTGCTTGGTTTGGTTTCCTTCAGGCTGAAGCAGCTAAACTGGTTCCCATGGGCTTCACCACAGCAACAGAATTCCACCAGCGAAGGTCAGAGATCATCCAGATCACCACTGGGTCCAAAGAACTTGATAAACTTCTTCAAGGTAAGAACTTCATTTCCCTTTACTGGTTAGCCTTAGTTAGCTGTGGGGTTTTTATCTATGAACATGATCCTTGCATGAAAACATGCAAGACACACAAGTTTTGGATGAAAAATCTCCTCAAGTGCCATTCTCTTGTATCACAAGTGGCTGCAGAAATAGTTTTAAGACCTTTTAGCCATGGTGCCACACTTGGAGTGGTTCATTTTGGATGTTTCTCATTTATTCTGCTCTATGACCTATTTCAAGAAACCAGAAGCAGGGATCAGCTTCTCCCTGTTCCTGCTTGTAATCAAAAACCAAACCAAGTTGCTTCAGCTTTTCAGCATCTTCAAAAGTACGTGTACCTAAAGTGCACATGAACAAACCTTGGGATGAAATCCAGTTTCTCCAATTAGAATTTAGAAGCTTTTAACCAAACAAGTGTTGAACTGAGTCTCTAAATGTAATACCTTATACATGGTCTTTGTTTGAAGTATGTGACCTGTTAAACATTCTTCTATTACTATTCTTTTCCCTTCAGGAGGGATAGAAACAGGATCCATCACGGAACTGTTCGGCGAGTTTCGTACTGGGAAAACACAGCTGTGTCATACCCTGGCAGTAACCTGTCAAGTGAGTGTTACAGTCAAGTGTTCAGACCACACAGCTTTTGGTTACTTGCCATTTTGTGCACTTTTCTCACCTAATACAAATGTGATGCATATAAAGAGCTGCAAAGAACATGTTTGCAGCACCCTTGGTTGTACCTGCAGCTTTCTGGGAGCTTTTGTTTCATGCTTAATCTACTTCTAGGATTACTTCAGCAGCAGTTACGTTTGTGATGATTTTTACCTGTGTTTTACAGGGTCTGTAGCTGCTTTTCCTTCCCCCCCCCCCACTCAACTTTAATACA